TTGTTATGGTTAATACTTTTGTAATTATAAAGGAAGGTTTCCTTACACTAAATTATCAAAAATATTCTGTTATAATGTCATCTGAAAGTATTTCCTTTTTGTTTTTCACATTTAGAGTCAAATACTTTTTCTTTTAACACACAACTATCTCAGCACCATTTGTAAAGTAGTCTGTCCTTGCCCAATCACTTTGCAACGTGGCCTCTGTCACAGCCCAGTCCACACGTGAATGGGTCTCTTTCTGGGCCACTCTCCTGTTCACATAGAACTTTTTGTCTTTTCTTTTGCAAATACTACATCACTCTAATAACTGTACCTTTTATGAACAGTCTTCACATCAAGAAGATAATTCTTTTTTCTATTATTAAGTACTGATTAAATTTAAATTTCCCAATTTTATGTTGGTTTTGATGGCTTTTTATTATTTAATTATTGGAGTTCTTTATACATCTGGATGCTGGAACTTTATTGGTTCTACTTGTTGCAGATAACTTCACTGTGACTTTCATTCTCTGTATGGTACCTTTTGATGAACTGACTCTCTTAATTTAAATGTAGTTAAGCATGTATTTTTTCTTTATAGTTAATTTTTATAATATAAGGTTATGAAGATATTAAGCTATATTGCCATAAGATATTTATAGTTTTATCTATGCCTTTAACCCACTTGAAATTAATTTTTTATGACACAAGCGACTCTATTATTCTTTTCTCCTCAATTGTCCTAGCACCATACACTTTCCACTGATCTACAAAGCTACCTCCGTATATCATGCATGTGTGGATGAATTTTAAAGCCTCTATATGATGCTCAATGTGTCAATTTGTTCATTCCTTCACCAACACTACACTCTCCTAAACATTTAGAAAGGTTTAGAGTAGATTTTCATAAATTCTAAAGGAAGTTCTCACATTTTAGTCTTTTTCAAAAATGTCATTATTGATTATTTACATTTTCATGTTTGCTTTCATATAAATTTTAAAATCATGCTTTTAACAAAAGTGTAATTTCACTGGATCCATAGACCAACATAGGAAGAATTACATTTAAAAAATACTGCATTTGTTAAACAAAGAGCAGATTCCATTTCTCCATCCATTTAGGTCATTCATAATAAATTTTCTGCATATCTTCTATATCTTTTATTTGCTTGGTTGCTAAGTACTTTATTGATGTATTTTAAAAGTATATATTTAATCTTGTTTTTTAAAATTTTTTCCTAATATATCAAAATACAATGATTTTTAATATATTGATAATTTATTTAGAAAACTTATCAAATTCATATTGATTCAAAAAATATATATAATATGTTAGAGATTCTCTATACATATAATCATATCTTCAAATAATCACAGTTTGGTTTTTTCTTTTACAGTTCTTTTTAATTGCATGCTTTTATGCCAACTGCAAATTCTGGGCCCAAATGAAATAGACTTAGTGATATTTTTGTCTTTTCTCTCTCACAAGAAAAATTATTAACATTTTCACATTTAGTATGTTTGCTATAAGTTTTTAAAATTTTCATCAGATTAAGGAGGAATGACCTTGTTTTTCTAGGTTTGATAATTTTTATGAATGGATCTTTAATATTATTAGTTAGTTGACATTTCTGCATCTATTAAGATAAACTTTTGACTTTTTTCTCTTTAATCTGTTAATATGACGAATGATATTACTTGTCTGTTCAGTGCTAAACAGAATCCTTGGTGTAATCCAGTTTAGGGATATTCTGTTTGGATTATTTGTATTTGTATTCACAAATTAGATTACCCTGGCATTTTCCTTTCTACTACTGTCCTAGAGAGTTTCTGCTAAGAAGCTATGCAAGGCTTATCAAAAAATTGAATAATTTCCCCTTTTCTTTGTTTGTTCTCCAAGCCTTTTTTCTTAAGCAACAAGGAAACACCTAGAAGTCTTTTTTGTTTGTTTGTTTGTTTTTGTTTTGAGACAGAATCTTGTTTTGTTGCCCAGGCTAGAGTAAGTGCTGTGGCGTCAGCCTAGCTCACAGCAACCTCAAACTCCTGGGCTCAAGCGATCCTGCTGCCTTAGCTTCCTGAGTAGCTGGGATTACAGGCATGTGCCACCATGCCCGGCTAATTTTTTCTCCATATATTAGTTGGTCAATTAATTTCCTTCTATTTATAGCAGAGACAAGGTCTTGGTCCTGCTCAGGCTGGTTTCGAACTCCTGACCTGGAGCAATCCACACGCTTCGGCCTCCCAGAGTGCTAGGATTACAGGCATGAGGCACCGCGCCCAGCCAAACTCTTAATATCTATCCAAAAATAGGCCTTTCATTAAGTTAGATACAAATTTTTTGTTACCAACCAAGGAATTTTAACTGGCAGAGAGAATCTAGCTATCTTTGTTCTTTTAAGATATACTTTCATTTCTTTGATTGTTGCATATTAAAGCATTTTCCCTTTGATCTAAAATTAAAAATGCAAATAGGATATTTTTGCATGTGGCTTTCTATTTGTCATTTTTGTCACTAACATAGTCAACCATTTTGATCTCTATACCCAGATATTTTTCCATTTCCGTAATTTTTAAAATAGTGTGATTTTGATCCTTGAATGCAGATTACTTTTTTCTTCCTGATGAACTTCTCCAGTCACTAGATTAAATTTATCTTCTATGTTCTCCTCATTGATCATCCTACAAATTTCAACTCTTTTATGTTGTTCTGGTTCTTAATGATTTTATTAAATATGTCCTCCATATCATTTATTTGATATCCTTTGAAATATTATTTCTACTCATTAAACCTTCATTAAAATTTTTAGCTATGCTCTTAATTTGTATTTTATGTTAATCTCACCCATCTCTTTTGATGACACTTTCTGTTTTTTGTTGTTGTTTTCAGTTTATTCTGTCACTATAAATGTCTATATTTCTTTGATGGCAATTGCAACTTCTATTCTATTGAGCATAAGTGTCTTGTAAAAGTTATTCTAATTAAAATACTAAATCAGTTTTGCAGATGGCAGTCCTATGAAATTTCAGGTTCATATTCATTTCTGTTTCTCTTTACTGTCATTTCTTTTTAAATTTATTCTAGACAGAGCTTCCTCTGCAGCTTATGGTTTCTGAAATCAAGTAGGACTGTGGCTTACTCACAGTAATTTTGTGTTTGGGTTTAACTTCTGTTCATATCTACATCAAAGGTTAGATTAAATGTTTACATATATGTTTCATCAAAAATGTCTTGCAAACATTCACTATTTGCAACTTCTTTATTCTGTTAGAATCTTTACTACTGCCCCGATTAGGTGCATAGGGTTCTAATTTCAATAATTTTCCATGTTCTCCTTTTCCTTCCACACACAATAGTTTTTGTTGTTGTTTAAGAGTTTTATTGGGATGTAGTTGATATGAAATAAACTATGCATATGTAAAATGTCCAATTTCATAAGTTTGGGCATATGTACACATCCATAAAACCATCACCACAATCAAGATAATGAATATCTTCATCATCCCCAGACCCCTTACTTAACCCACGTTTCTAGGTAAATTCTGATCTGATTTAAATTATCAGTTAGTATTCCTTTTTCTAAAGTACCTAATATAATTAAATATGGATATATCATCATTTGTTCATCCATTCATCTTTTGATAGATATTTGGACTATTTCTGTTTGAGAGGCATTTTCAATGAAGCTGATGTGAATATTCATAAGTCTTTGTATGGACATATGCTTTCTTCTCCTTTGCTTAAATACCTAAGTGTGAAATGTGTAGATCATATGGTACATGTATGTTTAGTTTTTAAAGAAATCAACAAACTGTCTTTGAAATGATAGTGATATTCTACAAAATTAATGGAATTGCATACAATTTCAGCTGTTCCACATTATTGCCAATGTGTGGTATGATCAATCTTGAATTTTAGACATTCTACTAAATGTGTAGTGTTAGTGGCTCATCACTGTAATTTAATTTGTATTTCCCTAATGATATTGAGCATCTTTTCATGTGCTTGTCATTCTTATTTTTATCTGATTTAATGAAGTATTCATTAGCATTTTATCCTTCTTTTTATTGCATTTTTATTATACTTTATGTATTCTAAATATAAAATCTTCCTTAAATATGTACTTTTAAAATAGTGTCCTTCAGTCTGTGGCTTGTCTTTTCATTCCCTTAGCAGCATTTTTCAAAGAGCAAGTTTTTAAAGAGCTCTCTCTCTCTCCATATATATATATATGTGTGTTTGTGTGTGTGTACCTACCATGTTAACCTACTTATGCATATATGTGTATATGTGTTTACATTTTATAGATCATGATTTTTAGTGTCATTGGTAAGAAATATTAATTTAAAGTAATTAAGATTTTTTTCCTATATTTTCTTCAAGCTTTAATTTTACATTTTAGGTATGGATAGAGTCATTTTGAAATATTTTTTGTATATACAGTAATATATAGATTGCAGTTCATTTTTAAATCTCTGTATCTAATTATCCCCCCACCATTTTTGATAAGATAATACTTTCTCCAATTAAAGCAGTTGGCCATATATGTGCAGCGTAATTATGGGATGCTCCATTGTATTCCATTGACTTGTTGGTATAACTTAATACCATTCCCCTTCTGTCTTGATAACTATGGTTTTATAATAAAGCTTAGAATCAAGTCATGTTAGTACTCCGACATTATTCCTTTTTTTCAAAATGGTTTTAGCTATTACTGTCCCTGTATAGTTCCATTTGAATTTTAGAAATAGCTTGTCAATTTCTACAAGATATCTGTTGGGATTTTAATCAGGATTGGCCTAATTAATAGCCCTATTGGGATTACTTACCATCTTAGCAATATTTAGACTTCTGACTTATAAATATAGTATAGTTCTTCATTTATTTAGGGCTTCTTTAATTTGTCTCATTAATATTTTATAATTTTCACATATGTTCTCGTATTTATACTTGCACATTTTATGTTGTTAATATAAAAGTTTTCATTCTTTAAATTTTACTCACATTTTTATTGCCAGTATATAGAAATACAACTTGTTTTGTGTATCTATTTTCATCTTGCAAGCTTGATAAACTCATTTATAAGTTCTAGACATTTTTGTAGAATCTGCTGGATGCTCCACATACACAATCATGACTTCTGTGAATAAAGATATTTTTCCTTCTTACTTCCAAATCCAGATGCAATGTTTCTTTTTTGCGTTTTATTATACTAGCTAGAAACTCCCATACACTGTTGTATACAAGCAGTAAGAGCAGACATCCTTCCCTTATTTCTGATAGTATGAATGGGAAAAAACCATCGTTTTTACTATTAGGTTTGCTACTAGATTTAGGCTTTTTATTGATGCTCTAAATCAGGCTGAGAAAAGTTTATTATATTCCTACTTACCTGAATGATATCACTAATGGATGTTGAATGTTGTCAATTTTTTTATTTTACTGAGATTATCATGTGCTTTTTGTTTTAAGCTTATAAATATGGTAGATTGAAATTTTACTTTATGGATATTTTGATTGATTTTTAAATGTTAAGCCAACTGGACTTTCATGGAAATACTATCCAGGAAAAGATATGCTATCTTTTATGTTAGTTTATGTGTTTTTTCTTAAATTCTTATTGTGGTAAAAAATACATAAAATTTACCATTTTAAACATTTTTTTAAGTGTGAAATTCTGTGGTATCAAGTACATTCACCTTCTTGTGCAATATTCAGAACATTTTCATCAGGCATAACTGAAAGTCTGTACCCACTAAGCACTAACTCCCCATAGCCCCTCTCTCCAACTCCTGGGATCGCCATTCTACTTTCTGTCTCTGAATTTGATTAATTTAGGAACCTCATATAAGTGAAATCCTACACTATTTGTCCTCTTATGTATGACTGGCTTATCTTACTTAGAAAATGTTTTCAAGTTTCATCCATGTCATAGCATTTGTCAGAATTTCGTTACTTTTTAAAGATGAATACTGTTCCAGTGTTTGTACAGATGACATTTTGTTTACCAGTCATCTGTCAGTGGACTTTTTTGTTGCTTCCACCTTTTGGCTATTGTGGATAATGCTGCTATGATCACAGATGTACAAAAGGATATACTATCTTTTGGTATATTGCTGGATTAAATTTTCAAATTTTATTGGTTTATTTATTTTAGATTCTTGACATTTATGTTGATGAGCAACTTTTCTGTACAGTGCTCTGCCTTTGAAGTTCTGTCCTCTTTGGTACTCTGTGCTGCAACTCTAGCTACTATGGACTTCTTCCTAGACACTCAGCTTCATCTCTTAAATTCTGGGAATCTGCTGGATTCTGCCTGTGATCTTCCTCCCTGTACCATGGTCTGATGACTCTTTTAAGACAATAAGCTAGGGCATTCATGGACTCACTTCATTTATTTCCCATCCCTCAAGGATTAGTGTCCTGCATCACCTGTGGTCCAGTGTCTTTAGAACAATTGCGTCCTATATTTCGTCTTTGAGTGTGTTTGTGTTTTTCCAAGGGTTAAATCATATCCATATTATTTCATCTTGCCTGGGAGTGAAAATCTAAATTTCTTTTATTATACTAAAATTTTAAAGTTTTTTGGTCCTTTTAAATTGTTTTAACCTTTCTAAATTTTATTTGTGTTAAGGATGTGAGACAGGAATATAATATGATTTTCCATGTGAAAAAGCAATCATCAAGGCACACTTATTAAATAGTCCATACTCATTATTATCCTGGAGCCTGATATTTTACAGCCAATTTAATCCACAATACTTCTTCACATATATTACTTCATTATGTTCTTTACGTAAATCTAAGTGAGGTGTTGTACTAGTAGGTTTATTTTCTCTATAAGATATCTAGGAACTTAGGATCATCTCCATTAAGTTACTTGTCCAAGACTTTTCTGAATTAAGTGGCTGAATGGGGAATATAATTCATATGAAAGAACTCTGGCTGAAATATTTGCCACTCCATTAATCTCTAGGCTCCATTGCCCTAATCTGCTTGATGAAGTGGTTTCTCTCTTAATGCAAAACTGTCTAAAAGTGTGATCAGCCCTTAAATGCAGAAAAGACTCCTTTGGCTAGGGATATTTATTTCTAAGACTAATGTTTATTATATTCTGACTTTTTTTCTCACCTCCTCCTTTACCATACTCATTATATTATATCCTCTCATTGGATGACCTGGAATTACCTTATAGCTACATCATTTTGTTGTCACTTGAATAACTCAGCTTCCTAATATGGGGAATGGTTGCTGCTTTCAAATTAATTTTTGTAAATGGTAATGAATAGTGAATTGGTATTTTTTAAATTTATTTCTAAAGCAAAGGCTTATTAACAACTTTTAGAAGTTATATACAAAATCTTGATTTTTAGACTTTCATTACATTTATATGTGTATATTGTATGCTGGCATCATGTATAACTTCCATGTATATACTCATACACATGAATGCTCAAAGAGATATTAAACATATGTAAACAAAAATTAGTATTGAAAAATTACATCAGATAAAGTAGAACCTTACTATGTGCCATCTCCTATGTAACTTATTTAAATATCGACCTTACTTATACATTCCAGTCTTTCAGATGAGTATATTTTTCTCTTTTACATATGTAAAACTCAGTAAGGTTTATTAACTAGGCTATTGTCACACAGACAAGTGCTGTTGTAGAAACTCAAACTCAGTCTTATCTGCATTTGCAACTCATCCTGCTCTCATTTAACTATACTCCAAGGTCATAGCTTTTAGTTATTACATCTCAACAAAATATGTGTAGAGTACTAGTAGGTAAAAGCATAAGAGCAAGTGCAGTTTATGACTCAATTCACTTCAATCTGTGGTACTTTTCTCTCATATTGTATTCCAGAGATAGAGCACACTATCTCCACTCTGAGATAGCATCATTTTGTCAACAAGTGTTAGAATTATGTTTTTTCTACCTCCCTATGTGCCAGTGTAATTAATGAGTTGGATTACAAAGATGAGCCCATTTAGAGGAAAGCATATATATCTACTTCTGACATTATCTCCTAAGAAAATATATTTCCATGTTTTCTCACACTACCAAAATAAACACACAGAAAAAAAATAATGTGTATGATCTTGAATATCAGTCTTGATGATTAAATCTTAGACATGAATGAGTGATGAAATGCTACAAAAGCAGGGGCATTGAAACACTGCCCAGGAATGCCTAGGATAGCAACGTGATTGAGAACCCCACAGGTACAATTGTAGAAAGAAATGGATTATCTGGGTGTATTGTTGACTCTAGGGAGACATTAGATATACTTTCAAATCTCTGAATTGCTGTCAGGGGAATATGTGCTGTGTCACTTCATAAATCCCACGTGGAGCAATGCAGATATATCATAGGATGCAAATGTTGATAAAAATATTATAAAGAATAATCAGCTACACTTGCTCCTTGAGATGATCAAACAAAAGCTAGATAACTCCAAATCAATCAGGATCATGTATCCAGGATTCCGCAACTTTAAAAGGGCTGAATTTTAAAGTGTTTTAAGTTCCTTTCTAACTGTGATAGTCTGTTATTTTCAAGATAGGAATCCATTCTATCTTTGTTTCTTTTCCGTATTTATCCACAAATTATAAGGTAGGAATTTACCCATGGTATGGGAGTCACATTGCATAAACTTTAAAATTAAATCCTTAAGTCTCTTAAACTTTTAACATATGACCACACACTAATGCAATCTTATATAATAAGAATAAATCAGGAAGAATCACTTCAGCGACTTAAGCTGTACTACAAGGCTATAGTAACCAAAACAGCATGAGAATGACACAAAAACAGAGGCATGGATCTATGGATGAGAACAGAGAACACAGATATGAAGTCATCCTCATATAGCCATCTGATCTTCGACAAAGCAGACAAAAATATACACTGGGAAAAGAATTCTTATTCAATAAATTGTGCTAGGAAAATTGAGTAGCCATGTATAGAAGACTGAAGTAGGATCTGCACCTCTCACCACCCACAAAAATTAATTCATGATGGATAGCAGACTTAAACCTAAGGCTTGAAATTATAAGAATTCTAGAAGAAAATATTGGAAAAATTCGTATAGATATTAGACTAGACAATTTATGAAGAAGATTCTAAAGGCAACCACAGAAATAACCAAAATAAATAAATAGGACCTGATAAAATTAAAAAGCTTCTACACAGCCAAGGAAACTATCAATACAGCAAATAGACAACCTACAGAATGGTAGAAAATATTTGCATGCTATACATCTGATAACCAGAATTTATAAATAACTCAAGGAAATCAGCAAGAAAAATAAAAAAAAAAAAGCAGAACTCTTGCTGGGATAGATTTTCAAAGCCCCAGCCTTTCTTTTTGTGGGGCCCCAAGTTTGGTGCTCCTATCCCCAGATGTCCTTGAGTCCCTCAGCCCTATAGCTACCTTCAGATATCTGACCAGGTGGACGCTGCTCACTCTTTCTCCTCACTCTCCTCCATTGCCCTCCCAACCTGACTTGTCCTATACCTGTTTGTGCTAGAGGGAACATACTTTTAATTTTTCCTGGAACAGATCAGATTTATAGGTTAATTGTTAATGATGTTCTCTTTTAGTTGATCAGTTGTATGTCACTCTACTTGGTGACTTTTGTTTGTTCATGTCCTCCTCTACTAGACTCTGAATCCCATGAGGAAAAAAAGAAAAAACAAATTTCAATTGTGTTTACTGCTCTATTCTCCAGGGCATACAACTGTGCCTGGCACATAGTAAGCTGAACGAGCTAGTACGTGAATGACTATGACTCTGCTCTGATCATTGCAATCTGATGGGTCCGTCTTGTCGTTATTCTTCCCATAGAGGTGAGGTTTCCTCAGTGAAGAGCGTTGTGTAACTAGGGCATATGGGAGTAGTCCTCTGAAGTAAGAAAGAATCCTAAAAGTGTGGCATCTTGTGAATACAGAAAGGATTCTGAGACTTCTGTGCTGGTAATACAAAGATTGGAAGGGAAGCCGTGGGTAGTGAGTTCCAGGTAGGGAAGTCAAACTTGAAAACAGGGGCTTAAAGCGTCAGATAACCTCCCTTTGACAGGATGCCATTGTTTATTTTAGGAACTCTTGTCAAGGCACATGATCACTGATAAAC